AAAAACAATTTTTAATATTTTTTTGGGAGGGGGTGGGGCAAAATAATTGAATTTAAAAACAAGCTTTAAAATTATTGTTTTTGGTGGGGGGTTTGGTTGGGGGGTAGCTGGTTTGAGGGTAGGGACAAAATAAATTGATTTTTTCAACAAAAAAGAAATTGTAATTTGAAGTAGGAAGAGAGTTTTGGAAAATGTTTTCCTTAAGTTTTGAAGGGAAGTCATTTTCCTTAAATTTGAGGAAAATGAGTTGATTTGGAAAACATTTAACCCAACCAAACATGAGAAAATTGGACATACCAAACACACCTAAAATATGAGTCAATTTTGATAACATTATTGCCTCAATTAATAGTGTAATTATCTCAAGGATTTTTACGTATCTGTGTAGGCAACAAAAAATGAATTTCAACAAAAATTGTCGTATGTATTTGTAATGTGTTGATATTGTATAAATACTACTCTCTCCATTTCATATTAAGTTAATTTTTGAGGCATTTTCCATTTATCAAATTAACTTAATTGTTCAGTTTTCAAGACTATTTTTAGAGTATTCTTCCAATTTTACCCTTCATTAGTTAGTATTGGAATTAGTGATTAATTAATATTTAGTTATTTTAATCATAAATTTGACAATAATTAATAAGGGTAAAAATGGAAAACTAGGTTCAATTTATGTCTTAATCTATTTTTCTTAAAGGGTGTGAAACACCTCAAAAATTAACTTAATATGGAATGGAGGGAGTAAATACTATGTCTATATAATGTATAACTATGTATTAGAGATGTATATACATTCATATACATTGTTCATACAATACTTATACGTTGCAGATTCTAAACTACCCAAATTTTAGATATGTTCAAATCGTTGGATGCCTTCATTGGTATGTCAAATCCCTCGACAAGTTCACGAGATCCGATTTGAGGAAGATCCTTACATAAATCTACCTCCCCATTCTTATCTTCGACAATGACCACTAAGGGGAATATTCTTTGGACTGTGACGGTATGTCGAACAACATATGAGTCAGGAAAACCAATCTTGCAACGTTTCTATGTCGTATCAAAAGATAGTTTGCACCTGTCACCAAAAGATTGAGGCAGTCAAGAATTGGGTTTGGCCTAACTTTGGGATTGATGAAAGAAATTTTATGGGGCTTGCTAGTTATTATCGCAGGTTTGTGAAGAACTTTGCTTCTATTGCTACACATTTGACTAGGTTGACTACAACACCCATCTTGACCTTGTTGATGGAAGGTAAAGATTTCATTGTTTATTCTGATGCATCACGTTCAGGGTTGAGTGTTGTGTTGATGTAGGAAAGAATGTCATAGCTTATGCTTCCATACAGTTGAAGGTCCATGAGAGGAACTATCGTACCCACGATTTGGAGTTGGCAGCGGAGGTGTTTGCTCTCAAGATATGACGACATTATTTGTATGGAGTTAAGTGTTCAGTGATCATCATAATCTTCAATATGTGTTCACTTGGAAGGATCTGAACTTGAGACATAGAAGATGGATGGAATTGCTCAAAGATTATGATGTAATCATTCAGTATCATCCGAGCATGACTAATGTGATGGCAGACGCATTGAGCCAAAAGAAAGTTAGCATGAACATGCAGTTTGGCCTATTTGGAGATATCAAAGCGACCTTTGGCCAGAGAAATTCAGACATTGGAGTCCAAGTTTATGCAGTTGGGCATCTCTGAGAAATGGTGTGCTAGCCAATATTGAGATTAGCCTACCTTCATAGAGAAAATCATGACTAAACAATTTGAGGATGAAGAGTTGGCCAAACTCAAAGATAATGTGGAGTTGGGGAGGGGGGAGATGCCAAACTTGATGCTAATGGTGTGCTCAAGTTTAGAAGGAGGACTTGTGTTCACTACGAAAACTTGACCGCACCACTTACGATTTTATGTACATATAAATGGTAAAAAATAAACACGAAAAATACAACAACAAAACTATTAAGTAAATAATGAAAATGTTATAAAATAATATATTGTGGATGTCCACTACATCGAGAAGTTACTCTATTACTTTCCTCCATTATGAAGATAACCATAACCTCCATAACCTCCACCTTTATAACCATTATTCTTGTAACCTTTCACTTCCATAACCTCCCCATTATATTCATGTTAATGTCATGTTTATGGCTAACCTTTTGTATGCCTCTACGTTACACTATAAATAGAGGCATAAGGGTTCATATTGTATACACTTGAAGACTTAGAATAGGGATAAGAGTCTAAAAAATATCTCAACTTTGATCGAATTTGCTGTTGCGATACTAAACTTTCATGAGGACCTATTACCTTCCTAGACTATTTAATATATTTTCCCATGTGGACATAAAAAATAATGCAAAATTATAAATAGTAATGTGTCCACGTGGGCACATATATACCTTTAAAATACACTATTAAATAGTTCAGGGGGTAAAAAATAC